TTTATTGAGGGGATGGCAGCGCTGTGTCTGATGTGATCGTCACTGTTTTGTGCACTTTTTTTTAAACAGCTGATTGCTCTGTTCACAGGACCTGGAATTTCCACGAGGAAGTTTGATCCTTATAATCCAAGCAATCGGCATTGAAGTTCAGCTTCCACGACGCCGCTTGGTCTTTATAATCCAGGCAGTCTGCTGTGGAGTTGAAGCCCAGGCCGGACGTCCCGTAGCCCTGGGTGGAGAGGGACGCCGGGGACTGGTTCAGATGGCTTGTGACCGCGTTTGTGCTCATTGGACTGAGAGTTGAGCCGGGGCCTGATAACTGGTGGTGCATGGGGGTGAGGTAAGAGCCGCAGTCCATGCCCCCGAAGTAGGACGTCGAACCGGCGTAGCCCTGGCTGTAGCTCGAGGCCTGGGTGTAGGTCATGGGGTATGACCTCTGCATGCAGGAGGAGGAGGTAGAAAGGGGGTCTGAGAGCGGAGAGATGGACGCCGGGCTCCAGATGGACACTGGGGCGGTGCTGGTTGAGATGGCGGCGGGGACTGTGGTGGTGCTGGTGGGGGGCGTGAACTGGCCGCTGGCCCCGCTCTCTGAGCTCACTTCTCTGGTTGGGGAACTTTTCTTTTTGGCAGGTCGCACCTTGTTCTGGCCCCCGTTCTGCTGCTGCTGCTGCTGCTGGCGACACTTTGCCCGCCGGTTCTTAAACCAGACCTGGAAGAGCCACATATTGCTACATGTTATTGTCGAAATCCCTTAATTATAGAGAAAATATAAGCCAGATTCTACGTTTTTCGAATAGAGTACAAATAGTTAAATATTGTCCCACTCAAAGTGATATTTTTATAATTATCAAACCTTGTGAAAAAAATACAGATTTATTCTATGTCTTTTCAGTCCAAATCAAGACGTTTCTCTACTTTTTCACAAATCAAGTTTTTGGTACCAGTGGAATCTGTCATTAAGTGGCATTATCTCACCCCACTGGCAAAAGTTTTCCACTTGATTTAAGGCAGACAAAATGCTAAGCTTCAGATATACAGTCAGTCATGGGTTAAGATGAGTGTTTCTTGCAGTGCAGATATAAAATTGATTTTTTTGTTTTATTCGATCTCTTTTGTTTCATATTTACCCCAGTTTAATGAGCTGTAGGTGTCGTCTACACAAACTATTTTTTTCAGATTGTTAAATCTACACAGTAGCTGTTTAATCATTGATTCATTTTTTTTTTCATAATTAAAATATTTATCCACATCGATCAGTTCTCAAATATGGCAGATCTGATTAACTCACCTGAACTCGGGACTCAGGTAGATTGATTTTCAGCGCCACCTCTTCGCGCATGAATATGTCCGGGTACCGAGTTTTGGCGAACAACGCCTCCAAAACGTCGAGCTGTGCGCGCGTAAAAGTAGTCCTCTCTCGCCTCTGCTTCCGTGGCGTTGCTGCAAGTGAAAGGGAAATGTAAATCAATCAAATTAAATTACTCGTGTATCCAATAATAACAACAACAAAAAAGCAAGTAAAAAGATCAAAAATCTGTTACAGAATCACAGAATATATTTTGTATTGTTTGCGTAATTACGCACGAGTCCTGTGAGCCTTGGACGCCGATGGCAAATTGTACCACTTGACATACTTAAGTCTAATGTTCCAAAAATGTGATGCAGTTTGGATAAATCAAAGCCATTTCCAGTAATTAATTCGACAGGCACAATTTGAATTAAACGAACACAAGAGTAGGCTTCAGTTTCCTCCAGTTTGTGCGTTTGCGCAAGAAGTTTTGCTGAAATAATAATAATTCACACATTTACTCGTTTTTATTGCATCTCCCAGTCATTATTATATGAATACGTTTTGAAATAGGTCCTGATTACACACTGTAACCTCCCAAGCCCGTTAATTTTGTAGCCCCAAGCCATTACTGTTCTTTCACGACTCCTTATTCAGTCTTTATAAAGTTTAAACCCACCTGGATAGCCCACTGATGGATGCAAAAGATCCATTCCGGAAGTTGTTAAGCTGAGGCCATTGACTGTGTAAGGTGGTTGCTTTAGATACGACATCATGCTAATGTTTGTCTGAGGGCTGAAGTTGGAGAAAATTTTGAAAATTGATGGAGCTCCCGAGGTGTACTTGGTGTCCTCTGTGCGCCGTGTGGTCCGAGTTATACCGGGAACCTGTTTCAAAAAAACGACAAGAGAAGAAGACAACGATGAAGATGCACCTTGTGAAGAGAGATTGTGTCTGTTTACACGGCGCTGTCGCAAAATAAGCCGTCTCCGAAACGCACGGCGCTCCTCAATAAACACCAACCATCTCCAGCTGTCCCCAACCCCTCCTCCCACAAACAAAAAGCAATTCACCGACACTATAACTGCAACAAGTCACTTGAAAGTTCAGTTAAAGGCACTGGTTCTTGTGTATGAAGTACAATAAAATACAATAAAATAGGAATATTTAGTTACTTCCCGGGATAATTAAAATAAAAAATAATTAAAAAGCAAAATTAAAAGCCTGGTTGCCAAAATGAACAGACACCATTTTACTTCATTTTCGATTTGTTTCTATTTCTTTGGCTTTATTCTCTTTTTTTGGCTCTCTGTTTTATGTTAAGTTTTGTTTATACATTTAAATAGACAACCAGTGGCACGTGAAAGAAGAAATTGAATTTATGTTATTGAAACCGATTCTATAAAACACGACAGTCAGCATAAATAATCATATTTCAGACCTAATTCCTGATTTAAGATTACCAACATTTTAAAATATTGTCGTTAAAATCCTGAATAAATAGGGCCTACCTTTATTTTTTAAGATTATTATGAATCTGAAGCAATTAGAGTGAAAATTATCTGGATTTAAAACATTTAAAATACGAAATAATTTTGTGCAGAGCAGCTTTTAATTCAGTAAAAGAAAGGCATGCTGAACACATATTTGTTACAGTTCTTTAAACACTGATAAATATGCTCTGTGATGTTGATTGGTAAATGTGTGATTGCTGTCACTTCAACTTCAGTGACCCTCACCCGTCATCCCCACTGCGCGTCTTGATTAGTTGCATTTTTTTCCCCACTATCCAACGGTTTTAACCCCCTCATCCCAATCTGTCACACTTAAAACAGACCCGTCTACCAGTTGCACACACCCGCTCAATAATAACCTCCCTGTCCAAGAATTAATTATGATAAATGTTTTTCTGTTGATGAATTAACGAGATAATCCGAGTGGCATCTAAGTGGAGCTGCAGTTTGGTATCAATACAGTACCAAAAGGACTCCAGGACTCAAATCAGCACCAGCTCCTTCTTTAGTAATTACCACTGCACGTTCACGGAGCTCATTTGTAATCATATTACATTTTTCTTTTGGAGAAAATAAAAAAATTAAACTACAAGGAAGAAATTTAATTCTTATAAATGTTCATTTAACCGAGCTGTTTGGACGCATAATTACAATCAAGCCACCAGAACCTCGAAAACACGCGTAAAGGAGATGAAATGTGTCGTGTTGGTTTATTGTCCTCTACATTATTCCTCTCTGGAGGCTGAGCAGAGCCAACAGAGAGAGAGAAAAAGGCCGCGACACATTTTTCGATAGCAGGCCTATAAATGTTCTTTCTCCCCAGTGCAGCTCTCAGCCTCACCCCTCCACAATGATCCGCTGTAGTTGCATTATTGGCTCTGTAATTTGAGCTCGTATGTGCAGTGTGAAATAAATGTAAGGTTTCGTTCTGAGTTGAAACTTCAACTCAGTGAATATGGAGTCGGTGTTCTCGGTGGCAGGACTGCATCAGACAGTGCGAGTGTGATATTTGTGATAAATATTGCCTCCATTGATCTTACATTATGGGGAAAAAAAGGCAATTATGATGTCAGAAAAGCTTTAATTTAGGTTTGAGCCGTCTTTGTTTCCATTAACAGAGCCTATCACAATGTAACTTCGTCAGTTGGCTACTGTAATTACCGGATGCTCTGTGTACATTTATATAATATACGCCGTTAAGATTGATGTGAATCTAAAATGGTTTGGTGAGCAGACACACACACTCACTGTCTCTGGACTCAAATAAATAATAGAGTGAGTTTAAGAGGGTTCAGCCTTCATCTGCAGTTTGATGGGACTAAACAACCCAAAGCTTTCTCACTGCCATTTCTTTCAGTCTTCGTGGGTTTTATTTGAGCACCAGTAGCACTGTTGAAACCTGATCCCCTCTCTCTTTTAAAGAAAATAATGTTAGCCTTTTCAATGTGGTTTTAGAACAGGTGTGATTTCTTGTAGACTTGTATTATTATTATTATTATTATTATTATTATAATTATTATTTTACTTCTCTGACTCTACCACGATTGCTTATTTCGATATCACTAATAATACAAATAAAAAGAATGATAATTATGATAATAAAAAAAGTCAAACTTACCCTGATATCGACGACTGTAAAGTTCTTTGTCTGCTTGGTTTCCTCCAGGAGAAATAATAAAACTCAGCGCAAACGACGTCCTGGCGGATAAAAAAAAGCACAAAACCAACCGGGAGCAGAAGCAGCCGTCTTCAGAGGCAGAACAACGGTGAAAGAGATAAAAGTTAAACGGTGAGCGCCTGCATCAGGGTTGGAAGCGGTGCGACAGCGGCGGAGTGATGGAGGAGGCTGCATGTACGCCTTTAGGATTTGTTGGTGTGTTGTGAGTGAAGTGGTTTGAGTTGGATTTTGTACAAACTGCCAGCCAATGGGAGCCGCAGGACTGAGCTGAGGTCTGTCTCTGTCTCCGTCTCTCACACCGGTGGGGAGGATGAGGGTTTTTTTTTCTTTTTTTTTTTTTTTTTTTCTGGGAAACAAATGTCTCCAGCTACTTTTTTTTTGACGCACAGTCCTCAGCCAATGGCAGCGAGAGGGCGACTGACAACATCCCCATCCCACCGCAGAGAGGGTGCATTGATAATAAATAAACGGTATGCTGGTGGATGACGAGAAGTGGAGTTTAAACCGAGGAAAAGTCAGTTTAGTCACCTTTTTTTTTTACATTTTAAATTTAAAGTAGTTGTTATCCAGTGGATGCATTAAACTGAGGAAAGTTATATGAAGGCTGGTGGGTGAAGAGGGGGAAATATATGCGCAAATAAAGAGTTTTCTTTCTGAAAATATAATGTATGTACAATATAATAGTGGTGTCATGCTTTGAAAATATGTTCCAGTGCATCACTTATCTGCAGTCAGTGCGTATAAAAGTAATTCTTTATTTTTATTTATTTTTTTTAAATCAGAGAATTGTGACAATCGAGGGATATTAAAGCATCCTGACATGGAATTTCAGACTTTATGAGGAGAAAAAAATAAGCTTTTAGTGTTTATAAGTGTGCGTGTTATATAAAAGAGTTAAATATCGGAAAGGAAAATAAATCTGTGACCCAAAAAAAAAAAAAAAAAGACAAGAAAAATCCCGCCTGTTCTAAAGCAGGGCTCTCTCCATGTGAAGGCTGCACCGTCCTCTCACATTCCAGCGCGTCGCAAAAAAAGGGGATTTAGAGCGACTTATTTTCTTAAAACTGTCCTCCCGTCCGCAGAGCCAGCCAGTCTGCTCCCATCAGCCCTCACACAGGCCTGCACCACAAAATTCACCCAGAATATTTCACAGCAGAGTTCCCACCGAGAGCCACCGAGCAGCCGAGGACCTGCACCGGACCTGTAGGGCACATAGAGCCAGACAGGAGGATAAATGACAGGGGAGGGGAGGGGGGGCACCAGATACAGGCCGGTGGGTCACTTATTTCACTCCTGCACGAGGAAGATGTGAAAGAAGATAAAAATATGAAGGTAGGCCTGTTTTATTTTGGATTTAATATACAAGAAAGTGCATTTCGGAAGTTTTGTGTAGTAACATTGTAATAATAATAATAATAATTATAATAATAACAATAATAAAAATAGTAATGTTATTTATATTGGCTGTTATTAACATAACAATCATTAAGTTCAGGATTCATCTTATTTCATATTTACTGGAGGACCCACAAGCTGCACGGGACAAATAAGCCTCCTCTATGTCACTTGAATTTTGAACCTGCGTGCCCATCTCAAAATAATATGCTGAGGGTTTTTGTCACGGCTTGGTAAATGTATCATCTTAAGAGGCTTTGTGGAACACCTACACACACACACACACACACACACACACACACACACACACACACGTTACACACACTGCGCGCTTGCACGGACACACCCGCTCACTTCAAACAGATTTGAATATTGATTTAGATTTATAAACACAGGCAGACCGTGGGTTTTATGAATCGTCATTTGCCTCTCTCTGTGGCTCGTGTGGAAGGCCAGAGTCAAAGGTGCAGTGACAGCTGCTGGGAAAAAACTGGTTTTCACTCCGAGCTGCAGCCTGCTGGGGCTCAACACACAAACTGGTACACTGTATCAACTTTATACAAACTCAGTGACATCTCTTTTGACAGATTTCGATCAGTGGAAGCGGTTGAATGGATCATAACCCTGGATTTCTTTTAACGACCAAACATGAGATTTGATCTGAGCAGAGGAAAAGTTTTGCTGTTTGGAGGAGGAGAGCTGCTGCACATTCAGGTATCCCTGTCTGTTTGTTTGTATGTGTTTTTATTTTTCTTTATTTATGTTTTTAAAGCCGGATAACACACATGTATTTGGTCATGGAATAGGATGGAAAAATGGAGTAAAATTACATAAACTCACCTGTTTATGTTGATTTGAATTTATGTGAAATAAATAAATCTTATATATCATATGGGGCAGCTTCAGGCGGGTGTAAAGATGAAGTCTTGGCTGGTGGATTTTTAATTGCTGTTTGCTTTATGACCATCATAAAGGTCACGGTTTAGCCTTCCCATATTTTTACTGCAGCAGAACCAGACTCCAGCCAAAAAATATCCTGTTAATGGGGGAATGTAAAGTTTAAATTAATAGTCTTATACGCTCCTTTAAAAAAAAATCTATATTCTTTTACTTTCACGCCTTCACACTTCGGGCCCGTAATACGAACTTTTATATTCTCAGAATACAACATAGGAATAATCAGCCTGCAGCCAGAACGACATTTAAAAAAAAAAAAAAAAAAAAAAGAGGTGTGAATGTTTGCTCATATTTTAGCAGCTGCATGGTAATGCGCCCTAACGCGAGACTTTCAAACTGCTGCGTAGAAAATCATGACGTGTGATGCTGTTATCTGCTGGATCTCACCGTTTAAATTGCTAAATAATTTATTAAACTGTAAAGCCAGGCCCTCCGCAGGGACTTTGTATCTTAAAAGGACGTTTAAAGGGAGAAGGAGTTAAACGCCTCTGGCGAGCAGCGCTCCCACTGACTCCCGGCTAATTGACGACGACGGCTTTTATCTCCGCCTCTGCTACACTCAACCTGAGGGTGAGGATTTCTCCAGGCCTCCTCCAACCTGTGATTTCTACCAGTTAATGCGTAGCCTATACATCTGTACTAATACATTGGACAGGCCTGGATGTTTGACCCTTGTTTGATAGCCTTAAAAAGAAAAAGAAAATCTTATTTCAAGATTGGATAATTACAGGCAGCCCCCTTCTCCCCTGCTCCTCTGCGCCTTATCCAGGCATAAAAAGAAATAATCACCACATTATGGAATGGATAAATGTATGTTTTTCAAATTAAATAGAACAAATCAAAAAACAGAACAGCATGATAATTTAAATACTGTTGGTTTTTTTTTTGCAAAATCAAATTTGTGAGTTGTCTGAATTTAAAGCTGCATATTTACCACACACATATATATATACATATACATCTCCTAACTATAGGCAGCTTTCCTCTCCTTTGCCTCTTTCCCTCCTTGTTTGATATCCGCATGGCTGAAGATGAGGAATGTGTTGGTGGAATTCATTCTGAGCTTTAAAAAGAGCCAGAAATAAAAGGGAATAAAATCCAATAAAGACAATTTATATAGAAATGTTGATAATCTGTAATGTCAAGAAAAGCTTTTCCTTCTGCATTTGGGATTTAAATTGGCCTCAGTCAATGTACCTTTCCACAATAAAAGCAGAATTTACTTCAGTTACTTTTATCAACCTTATTTATTTCTTCTCCTGTTACTTTTTGTTAGTAAACACAGAAAGTCATTATTAATACCTCCACTATGAGGTGGAAATATATCTGCACACCTTGCAACCACTTTTAAACTAATCTCAATTTACAGAATTTCTTATCTCACTCATTATTTTACCAGAAAAATTAAAGCTGTCATACAAATATAGTAATAATGTGTTTTTAAAAAAATACTTTATTATTTAATTTAGAGTCATTTGTATGTATGGCACTAAGCGAAGTTGATAAAACCATCTTTTTTTCTAACCTGCATCTATGTTTTAATTATTTTGGATAGATATGCGTGGTGTGCCTGTGTTTGGTTGTGAGTGTGTGGGTGACAGAAAGAGAGAGAAAGAGAGAGAGAGATGAGCTGAAGTAGGATAATCACAAGCTGTATTTTAATTAGCCTGGCAGGTTTGATGGATATGTTGCTGCTGCTGCTTTGCAAAAGAAAAAGAAAAAAGAAAAGTGCACTGCGTAGTGAGCAAGGTGTCTAAACCGAGGGCTTTCCCCACGCTGTTTCCCTTATCACAAAGGAGCTAAACCTTTGTGTAATGTAACATGTAACTGACCCTAGAGGTCATCAAAACACATTCAGTCTCCTCCCCGGGGATTAAAGGGGGTGTCAGTTTGGGGAAGAGTTTATTCTGCCACAGAGGCACACAGACACATTCAGCAGGCAGCACTCTGCATCTTTCATTTCATTTCATCTCTGCGATTATTCACAATGTGACAAATTTAGTTTTGGTTCCAAGTTCTGCTTAAAATAATTATGGAAAATGCTTACGCTGTTGAATGAGTCTGTATTCTAGTTTTTTATGCTGTTCTCACTTCTGTAATGAAAAGGTGTGCTGATCATGAAATTATGGGTTTATTTTCCACACACATTTTCTCCATGAATTCAAATGTGGTGCCTCGATAATGCCGCGTCTGTGTGTGTGTGTGTGTGTGTGTGTGTTTGCCAAGTTTGCTCTTTCCATTAATATGACATGCCTTTTAATTAGCACCATAATTGTTTGTGTTGTGTTTGTGCAGGAGTTTGTCCAACAAACAAACGGATGCAATTAAACACACTCGCCTTCAGATCATCAATGAGGAAGCAAAGTCAAGACTGGTGGAAAAACCGGCAAGGACAAATATAAGACGGGAGAAGAGTCTGCTGCCTCAAGGTTAAACATGAACTGTGTAAAGAGCTCGTCTTCACACAATCTTGATAGTCTTCTTCAAAGGCATATGTGTTTATTTTAAATGTTCTCCTTTTACAACTTGATATAACTCTTAATCTTAATATATTTTTGTATCACTGCTGAAAATTAAACAAAGGTTGTTATAATTTTCCTTTTTCTTCTCTGCCTTCACACTGTCTTGGAAGTAATTAAGAAATAATTAGCAAATAAAGACTATCATTGTCAACCACCAACTTGCTCTATGACTCTCTCTCTGTCTCTCTCCACCTAGCCATCAGTATCCTTCTCCTCTGTGTGCTGAGGTGTCTGCATGGTGTGGTAAAACCTGCCCTGCAGACCGGACCTCTCAAGTCTTCAAAGGAGGAAGAACTCAATGTGGGGGATTTGTTCAGGCTTATTTGGTAACCTAGGATTTGAATTGGATTCTGGGAGGCATTCATAACACATTTGAAAATGTTACATTGTGTGATTTTGTGTGTAATCCCCATAATAAATTTTAGAAATGGTCACAGCACTTGCACAACTGTGACTATTCATGATTTATCAAATGGTTTTCTTGTCTTGCCTCTCGGGGGTGAGGTGTGTGTTGCCGGCAGGGAACAGGGACGATCTCAGCCGTTGGGTTGGGAGAGCCGGTGAAGAGACGATTCTTCCCTTTTAACCTTTCTCTCAACACTGTTTTGTTTATTTGACCTGAATATGTGATAGGGTCAGCCACCGTGCTTCCAGAGGGATTCTCTCAGACCCCCAACAGCACTGGAGCACTACAACCTCTAGTGGATTATACCTCCCTGGGAGGAGGGTTAGTGCATGCACGCACACTCACACACACTGTAGGTACAGTTTATTAAACTCAATGTATTTTATCAAAGCCATGGTCATAGATTAATAAGCTGTTTCCTTTGTTCCATCATGCCTATAAAGTACTTTGCATTGATAGAGTTAAGTAGAAAACTGTGGTTATATCATTTAACTTAAGTAAAATTATTAAATAATATGCAAGTCTAATGAGTCCAATTTTAGAGGCCCCCTCCAGACATGTTTTATTACATTAGACATATAATATACTCAGCTTTGATAATGATTTGTGTCTGATATGGTTTTCCCACAAAAAAAGTTCAATTACCTCGTTAGAAAATCTTAAAATTACATCTACACCTTCTCCCTCATTGAAAAAAATACAGAATCTCTGAATATGCAAATGTTTGAAAGTCTAACTGCTGGACACAAGATGTCTCCTACTTGCACTGTAAAGCCCATTCCCAGTGTTTGTACAGTGGACGTTTTCACATTACACTGGTGTAAATTGCATATTGGACCATGATTGACTTCCAGACTTGTGATGTCACAAAATCTTCAACTCAGATTTTAGGTGAGCACAAAAAAATGTTTGAAAATTAATTTGCAAACCACTTCCTAGTGTCAAACTCTGCACATATGTCATTCTGCACAGTGAAGGTGAAACAAACAAGTGAAAGAACAATAAGCAGGTGGAGGGGAGCTTTGAATGTCATGTCCCTTTGCCATCAGAATGAGCTGTGTGTGTTTGCAAAACCACAGAATAATTTTTGGCCAGGTATAGATAGAAAAGATAAGTCACAACGCAGCATGCTGTTAGAGATAGTCTAGAGGCAGTGAATAATGATATCTGGTGGACTAACTTTCTTTACGAATATGGTCCATCACATGGTTTGGTGGCTCCACTGCTTGGATTTCTTGTCTGGTACATGTAACTCTCCCGCCTTCGTTTAATAAGAGCGAGAGGTGTGTGTGTGTGTGTGTGTGTGTGTGTGTGTGTGTGTGTGTGTGTGTGTGTGTGTGTGTGTGTGTGTGTGTGTGTGTGTGTGTGTGTGTGTGTGTGTGTGTGTGTGTGTGTGTGTAAATCAGTGTTTGTGCCCTGTCCAAACCCCACTTTGCTTTGAATGACACTTTGGCGATGCCCCCAGCTCCCCACTTCGACTTCTCAAGCGTACCCCCTGTTAGTGCCAACTCTGCCAATTCCTCTCATGTCTTTAATATCTCTCTTTGGGCCCTTGGGTTTTGCCAGTGAAGGCTCCCCGTGACAGTTGGACATTGCCGTCACATTTGGGAGACAGTGGCGGGTGTTTGTAGCGTTCCCAGCCCCGGGCCTGTGGGGAATCTGTGATGGCTCGCCTGTCAGCCGGCCCCTCCCCTGTAATTAGGAGAGTAAACACAGCGCCTGGCTCTGCTTGGGGGAGAAGTAGGAGGGAGCGGAGGAGGGGACCGTCCGGCTCCTGTCCTACTGCTACTTGAGCTGTCCAGGAGCAACTGGACTGACAGGCTGTGATATGCACCCTGTCACATCTCTGTGGAGGAGAGTGTGGTCCGTTAACATGCTGAGAAAGATCAGATGTCCATTTGTGGATCATCAGTGAACCACTGAGGAGGCTTTTCATTGAACTGAACCTTTGTAGAGAGAACACAAAGACATTGATCACTCAAGATGATCTGAGAGCTATTGACAAACATGATCAGAACAAGTAAAGTGAAGAACATGTAGATGAGTAAAAGCTGTTTCCTGCATGTTCATGTCAACCAGTATTATGCTCACGTAGAAGGCCAGCAGATAATATAAAACAAACCACCACTGAGCCTCCGTCCCTCCTCTCTTCACCTCTCTCCTGGTTGCTGGGGGGACTGGTCAGTGGCTGGAGGAATGTGTTGTGGGCTGGAGTTGTAGCCGTAGCTTGGGACCGGCTCGGGGGGAGCGCCATCCCACCCAGCCCCAGCCACTCTGCTCTGCCCAGGCAGGGAGGCTGGCTGCGGGAATGTCGAGACCAGGAGGGGAGGAATTTTTCACTGGAGGACCTGCCAGAGAAATGCCATGCAGGGAGCGATGAAGAGAGAAACCTAGATAGAGAGAGAGAGAGAGAGAGAGGGAGGAGAGAGAGAGAGAGAGAGAAAAGGAGATCTCAGCCAATTGAAACGCAGCCTGTCAGTGTCATTTTGGTTTTGTAGGATGCTTACTGATGATGGGCCAGTTGCTGAATGAGCTGGTTGCCACACAGACATAGTGGCACCGCATTTGACTCAGATCTTTCTCAGATGGCTTGGCTTTCAGTGGGCGTAGCTGAGGTAGCTTAAAGTAAAGTCAAAGTGCATTTTAAACATATATTATTGTTTCAGTGTAAATCATCCATCTGCATTAAACAACCATCTGTCTCCCAAGTACAAGAGCATGATCACATGCACTAGTTTTTGTGTAAGTACATTTTAAATCAGATGGTGTGCATCAGTGTGTGCAAGTGGCGGACAGGGAGAGAGTACAAAGGGAGGGGTGCTTGAAGGCCCAGTGTACTTGCCAAAGTCTTTACGGCGCCCAGAGAGCCATGCTGCAGCATCATGGTCCACAGCATGGAAAGACATGGGGCAGATGGGTGCAGTGTAGCAGCACAACCTCCCCCTTCTCCTCCCAAATGTGAGGCAGTAGTGGTGGGAATGGCACAGTGTGAGAGGGAGCCTGGGTTCATGGCTGAAACAGAAAAGCTGTTGGAGGGGCATTTGGGGGCTAGGAGAGAGTGGGGGCTGAAAGCTGTTTGAGGGGGGGCTTTGGAGAAGTTGGTGGGGCAGGGATCCTGCAACGGAGAGGGAAAGCCAGTCCCCCTGTCACATCCCTTTGAAATCCAAGTGCAGGGGCACGAGCCCAGGGAGGAGTGGCAGCGTGGCCCAGCGCCTGGGCAGACAGGCAGTCACCGCACTGGGCCACAGTCCAGCTCGCCTCGCCTGGCCCCTTCCCACCCCAGCCCACCCCGTCTGGCCCAGGCTTACGGGAGTCAGGCAGCCGACCCCCAGTGGACAGGCCGGAGCCCTACACTACTGAATCCAATCTCAGAGCCTCTGCTGGGTCCGAAACAGCGGCAGCATCCACCAGGAGAGAGGTCCTGCAGAGATTGGGGGGGGTGGACTGCCACACCACTCCTCCTGCACCCAGGCCTCTGGATGGGGGCCCAGCGGAGTCTGCTGCTGATGATAACCCCCACCTCACCACCAGGCCATTCTGCCTTCAGGGCCTGCGCAGGTCCACACATCCCCATGGCAACAGTGGCAGGGCCGTCCACACAATGTGAGTGGGCAACAAGCCAAGTGCTGCCAATTTGGGATGAGGGAGAGACATTTTGGGAGAATGCTCAATCCTGAATCTTTTCACCTTTATTTTGTCCCTGGGTAATCGTGTTTTTGGCTCCAGTGATCTAATATCAGACACTTGGACTGTATTTGTTATTTGAACAGTGGTCAGCAGCCGCAGAGACAACCACACTTTTCTTTTGTGAGGTTCTCTACCACTGCTCCATGCTACTTCAGTTCTTCCACCTTTCTTTAGGCGCTAAAATTTCAGTTGTCAATTTTTTGACAGCAACGCCAGGCATTTATAAAAGTAGACCCTTGGGCAGAATTGACCTGATACATTCTGAAGCATTAGTTGTGTGTTTAAAGAGACCTTGTCATGGCAATATTAAGCCTGCGTAAACACAAGTAGTTCAATGACATTCACAGCAGCCACCTAAAGTTGATTCCCCACCCACTCTAAGCCACTGGGAAGATACTGTATAAGTGGTTGGGTGGTGTTTACTGAAAGTGGATATCTGCTGTTTGTTTTGTTGTTCTGCTTTCCGACCGTAAACACTGCATAGATTTCCTTGAGTGGTGTTTGAAACGCGTATGTGTGTGTATGCCATGTGTTATATTTGCTGATAACAGGATTTACTCAAATTGCGAATCACCAGTTGAGAAAGGTTAATTGTCAGTGCAACTGGTAGAATGGGTACATGCAATAATTATTAGTCTAAGTTGCTTTATTATTTAGGGACGCTAATTAGGCATTAACTGTGGTCTCCTTTTTGGATCACAACTTCAAATGCATGTCAAATTGCATTAAGTTCACTTTGACATCCATTTATCAAACTAAAGGAATGCTGTTTTGTAGATGTCCTTAGTGTGTTTATTATTATGAAACTGATCTGTTCTTGAAGTATTGATCGGAAAATTAGCAAAGGGGATTTTCAGAAATTGCTCCGTGCAGTGCATCCTCATTTTATTCACTGTGAGGACAATACAGTTTATGACTGGTGTGTTCTTTTTAGTTTTTGTGCTGCTGGTGGTTTTAATGGTTTGGTAATTTAAGATTGCATGAAGAAGGATATTTGATACTTGCAAACAAAACCATGAACACTTGAACTGAGATTTGAAGCGTATTCTAAGTCGCACCAGTTTA